AATCATAATCACAAAGCGTCTAGAAGAAAACACACAAGAGAATACTTTGGGGACTTGGAGAAAAGTGAAAATGTCTTAGAGGACAGGATATACAATAATAATAAAAGAGAAATAAATTAGACTGTGAAGCTAAAAGTTTCTGCTATCAAAATGCATCACCGAGAGAGTTTCAACCCGTAGTGATCACCTCCTTGCAGACACACCCTGGCAGCTGTTCACACACTCAGCTGCCCTCACAAGCCCCGTGGAATATTTGATATAGGAATCTGAAGACACTTAATGTTCACTGAGTTCAACTTCTTGCTCTGCAGAAATGACTGGTGTAATAGATTTGACAGTTGTTCACCCACCTTTGACTTCAACTCTTAAATTCTCTAGCATCCTGTGATTTCCTATTCCCAGAAAATGTAGAAAGGTTTGTGATGGAACCTAGACTGCTGATTGAATAGAAAAGTTGTTCCATTATTTCATTTACATGATGTGGATGAATACTTGTTTGAATTACCCAAGCAACATAGAATCTAGTTTCAGAAGAACCAAGTTTTATTTGAATGATTATGTGCAAAAGGATTATGGTCAATGTTGAATAAATAATGAATAACACGAGTATGATTTTCAAAATCCATTGTGCACAATGGACCTTAACAGATTATTTCCAAATTTTGTTTTTGAATAAAACTCTTCAATATCCTACAATTCCTTGCCTATAGATTGGAATATGTAACATATTATTAAAGATGCTATTTCTCATTTTTTGCTTCTTTTCTCATTCCCAACTAATCCAGGGAAGACTAAATGAACAAATGAATACAAAGTACACAGCAATGATTTCCCATACAGAGTAGTGAAAGTGCTTAATCTGCCATATATTACTTTTGTCAACATACAAATAAAAAATTATAACTGCTTTCCGAGACATCATTGGGAAAATGAATAAGTGCACTAAAATTTAGTAGAAAATATTTGATATATGTATATACCTACAAAGAATTAGTTTACAAGAGTATAAGGAAAGAACTTAATATATACCTTTAAAAAGACTAATAGTATAATTTTTAAAATAAGCCATCGGATTGAATAGACAACTCGTAAAAGAAATTATGTAAATTGATAACAGGCAAATGAAGGAAGTGCTCCACACTGTCATCATGTAAGTACAAATGAAACCACAAGAAGACAGAACTACATCTCTACCAGAATAGTTAGAATTGAAAAGATTGACAATACTAAAGATTAAGGTCATGGAGTAACTGAGTTTCTTATATAAATTTTTGGTGGATATATAAAAATCATACAATTTTTTTTTTAAAGAAAAATCTGATAGATTCTTAGAAAATTATCAGTTTTGGTTTGGGGCCGGGGATTTAGCTCAGTGGCATAAGCACCTGCCTTGCAAGCAGGCGGTCATGAGTTCGATCCCCGGTACCGATAAAAAAAAAAGTTAAAAAAAAAAAAAAGAAAATTATCAGTTTCACACAAGAGACATTTTAAAATACATTAAACAAAAAGATTTACACAAGAATGTTCAGAACTACTTTATTAATACTTGTCCAAACTGGAAATACTCCAAAAGTCTATGGATAGAGGCACGCTTGCAAAGTGGCAAGGTGTAATAATGACATCCCATGCAACAGCAGAAAGGGACAGACTACCGATACACACAACAACCTGAGTGGAATCTCAGAATAGGCAGACAAATCTGTGGTGAAACCCCCCGGTGCGAGATGATGGCCGAGGAGGCTGGCTGGGAAGACACGTGACCTCGCGGGTTCTACGTGCCATTCTGAGTAACTACATGTGAACATAATTGCCAAAACTTACTGCACTAAACTCTTATAAATCTAAACATTTTACTCTATGTAAGTTATACCACAATAAAAACTAAAAGAGCAGCGTTGTGGGGCACACCCATGATCCCAGTATTCAGGAGTCCGAGAGTTCAAGGCCAGCCTGGGTTGAATAAGCAAGTTCAAGGCCCTGCACTACATAGTGTCAACACACACACACACACACACACTACAACAACAACAGCAGCCAAACAAACAACCTAGAAGAATAAGTAGCTGGGAGGATCATAAAGAAATCATTAGACACAGTCAGAGATGAGAATTTAGGCTCATTTCAAACGAGCGGATTAGAGTAGATTCCTTAACAATGATGCTGCGGTACCCTGAGGAAAGTCTGGAACCACGCACCCTGCTTTCACAGATTTAGCTTCCAGTGGAGCCAAGATTTAAAGGCAAATACAGGAAACCGAAAGTTCTGAAGCAAACATGGGTGATTCCTTCGTCTCAGTTTGGAAGTGGACGACCCTACTCGAAATGCCACAAACCCAAAAGCCACTAAAGAAAAGATGAATATGAGCCCACCAAAAATTAGCCACACCTGGCTGGGGGAAAATACCATAAATGAAGTTAAAAGAAAATGAATAAAACATTATATAAAGAGCAACCATCTTCAAAAAAAAGATTAATAACCCAAGAGAGAAATGGGACAGGATAGGGACTGATGGCTCACAGGAAATATATGTAAATGGCTTCTAAATCTATGAAAAGACATCTATGCTCAATCACAGTGAGAGAAAGGCCGACAGAAAAACATCAAGTTACCACTTCCTCCATTAGACAGCATAGATCAAGATTTTTGATAATCTCCTGCATGGCAGTGCTAGGCAGTAAGCTTTCTCCTGCCTGTTGATGGGAATATAAATTGATCAGCTCTTGTGAAGACAATCTGGTGATATCTATCAAATATAAAACTGCACTCACCCGGTGACCCAGACATTCAGCTTCTAGGAATTAATGCAACAGATACACTTCCACATGTCCAGAAAGACAAACGACAGAAGCCATGTAGGCTGATTTGCAGAGGCAGATAATGGCCATCAAGAGCGGCTGGCTCAATAAATGGCCATGTCTTCCCATAAAGGGATTCCTCAAGATTGCTCCAGAGCTCCAAGTGGGCTAGTGGGGGCCCAGGCAGCTCAGACTCCGGAGCCGGGAGCCCTGGGTCCTAGCGCAGGCTCTACCCTTCCCCACCCTTGCACCAGTGACTTAATCTAAGCTCCCCTGGCCTCAGCTTTCCTATGTTTCAAATGGGAATGGTAACAATAGTGCCAATAGCAATAGCGATAGTAATAATAAAGCCCTTACCCCACACTGGAGATTAAATGAGTAAACGCGCTCAGTGCCCTTAGATCGGTGCCTGGGGTGTGGTAGATACTTATGCATGGGCTGGAATTACTAATGATCTGAAACAATCTCTAAAACTAAGCTCAAAAAATCAGTATTAAACCGGGTGCTGTATTGAAATGTTACACTGTACCCCCTGAATGTGTGTATTACTATGTGCCAATGAAAAATGAAAGTATGTATTTTTAAAACAGGTGTGCAGAACAATTCTATGTTTTTATACTTACGTAGGCACAAAATAGCTCTAGAAGGGTACACTAGAAACTACAAACTGTACCTGAGGAATGGTGAGGGTGGGAAACACTTCTCATGGGTACCTTATAAACTTAACACTTAGAGTATTTTTACAAAGTATACATATTATTTATTCTAAATTTAAAAAAATTTAAAACCACGTATTTTGCAAAGAAGTCCCATAGGGTGATGGAGCTGTTCTGTATCCTAATTATGGTAGTGGCTGCACAAATTTATACATGTGTTAGAATTCATAGAACCATATATGCATAAAATGAACGAAGCAAACTTTACAGCCTGATTTGTTTCCTTTTGACACACTGAGGATTGAAGCCAGCCCTCTTTGCTTTGAGACAGGCTTGATCAGTTGCAAGGTTTCCCAGGTTGTTTGGAATGTGTGGTCCCCCTACCTCCACCTCCCAGATTGTGGGGATCACAGGCATGCACCACCATGCCCAGATGATATTTTTAAAATTAAAAAATGCTTAAAATAGAGCAAATCTGGAGGACAGAAGACCATGAGGCAACTGCACTGAAAGGGAAAGAAAGCCTTCGACCGAGGGAGGGACACGGTGGGGAGAAGGAAGGGAGGAGGATGCAGCAGAGCTCAGGCCCTGTGCAGGTCTCCTCACGGAAACCCCAGAGAGCAGCCGTTTTGGTCGCTCTCGCTCCAAATGTCCACATGAAATTAGAATCACTTGTCTAAACTGTAAGGGGCAGGGTCTTTAGATCAGGCCCATCTGACTCTAAATGCCATGCTCTCTTTAACATAGAAGGTTCCTTTTCCCCTAGTTAGATCTGGGCATCAAGGAGGGCTGCAGAGAAGAGGTGACATTTGAACTGGGGACTTGGTGAGTTTATCTGACATCTGTCCTTCACAGTTCACAATGTAGTCTCTGTGGCTGGCTCCCTCTGCAGTTACAGAATACAAGCAGCATAGTTATGGACCGAGATGGGAAAGGTGTATCAGTGAGATTCTGCTGTGTAACAAAATACATCACAAATGTAGTAGTTCATTTCAAAGAATAAACATTTACAGATGGGGGGACTGTTCTTCTCATTATGAATTCTCATTCAATTGATGCCCTCCAATCCTTCAGCCTACTCCAGGTTATTTCACAGCAACACAAAAGCACTCGAGCCAGCAAGGGCAGGAGGCAAGGCCCTGGAGGAAGGTTTGGCACAGTCGCCATCTTGGCCATCAAGTTTCATGGGTCAAAGTGAGCGGTAAGGCCAGCCCAGACCAGACGGTCAGAGAATAGCTTCCCCTCCTGAGGGGAGAACTGTGAAGTCCCGCTACAAGGGGAGAACAGAGCACAGGGCACGTTTCATAATGACCTGTTACAGAAGGGGAGCTCTGACTCAGGCCCAGCAATAAAGCCCTCAGGATTGGCCTGTAAGTGCTTATTGTTTGATCCCAGTGTGTGTTTTGCGAAATGGTTTATAGTACTGTGAAATCTAATTACTGCACTTTCCCAGTCTAGGGTGGTTTCATCAGGGAGCGACAGAAATTTCCGTGTCACAGCGTGGTGGGGCTGTGGGAAGGTGGGGGGCGGGGGGAATGGCCGGGGCCAGGTGATTTCTCTTCTTTTGGAATAGCAGTGTGAGAACAGCAAGAGAGGGACCATCGTTCCTTTACAGAGGTGAGAAAGCCCAGGGAGGGCAGGTATATGCCCAAGGCCACACAGTCAGTCATCATGGGCAGGGATGGGAACCAAGGATTTTCTTCCAGGGCTGGGGAAGGCCATGGGAGGAAGCCCTCTGCACCTGAATCTTGTAAAAGAATGGGGCTGGGGCCAGACAGAGGTGGAGCAGAAATTACATTTACTCCTCTTGGATCCTGCAGGCCTGCATTTTTTTATTTCTTGAATTTGCATGATTGAATTTTTCCCCTCCAAAACTCTTTCCTGGGCTCCCTCTGTATCATTAGGTAACAAATGGATTTGCAGGCATTTCATTAGATTGGAAAATTACAGACAACCAGAAGCTTTGACCAGCATTTTCTCACCTCCTGGGGAGCCCCTCAGACCAGAAAATCAGGCCAGGTGCTGAGAATGGGACTCTATGCTGATGTCCTGGCCAAGCAGCCCTGTCAAGCCTACCAGCCTGCTGCTGACTTGGTGGCTCTTTTCCCTGGACCTCTGCTCCTGTCCAGACTTTGCAGGAGCAGCTAAAGTGAAAGATGATATGAGCAGACTTGTGGGGCACAAGCAACACTGACCTGTGCTGGGGACATTTCTGCCCTCCAAGTGGCTGATGGGGGAGGCAGGAGACCGTGGCACCTGCCTTCCTGCTGGCTGAAGATAGGAAGGGCTCTGTCCTCTCCCGGAAAAGGCAGAGGGCCTCATTTGACCCAAAACGCATTGTGTGCCGGGGCTCACAAGGCCTCTGCACTGACTCTTCAGGTTCTCTGTACACCTGGGATGGACACTGGCTGCTGGAGGGGACGAGTGAGGAACTGCAGGTGGAGGGAAGCGGCATATGACACAGTAAGCATTGCACGGGGCTGCTGTGCGAGAGGGTGTGTGCACACGTGACTGCCCAAGTTCTGGGGCATCCCTGCCCGCTGCCTGTAAGACTACTGGAGCCTCTCCAAGGCCGTGTTCTTTTCTCTGCTCCAGGGATCACATCCCATGAGTTCCTTGGCCACTGGCTTCTGGATGAGGTGGCCAGCGACTGAGAGTGGGAGGCTTTATTCCCAGCACCCTCTCTGCTCAGCCACGGCTCCTATCAGAGGCTCCCAGACCATCAGCCATGCTGCCTGGCCCTTCTGGCTGGGGCACTAACTGCTGCCCGCTGCTGTGAGCTGGGGTTTGTCTCACTGCCCCTGCGCCTGTCATCGAGCCCCCATGAGGCTGCAGCCTCCTCAAATCCTTCTTTCTCTCCCTCCTTCCCTTCCAGGGGGTACTGTGAACCCCTTGATCGCGGATCAGGGTCAGGGGAAAGCAGCTGACCTCAGCCCCAGCAAAACGGGTTCTGCCTCTCCAAGCCTGCTAATCTCAGAGCTGGTATCTATTTAATAAACTTGCCGCTTTCCTCTAAAAGCTCTTTTAAAATTGGCCCTAGGGTTTTTTGTAATAAACTTTCTATTTTAGAATAGTTTTAGATTTAGAGAAATATGGTGAAGATAGTTCAGAAATTGACTCACTTTTTAAATTTTATTTTAAAAGGAAGCATTTCATTATTTCTGCAAAGAGAAAACCAGCATGACTTGCCTCAAATAGACTTTAATCTTTAAAATGAACAGAGAAAACAGAAGTATTATTAAATCTTTAAAACTTAAATAAAAAATTAAATGACTCAATGCACATAGTAATAAATCTGATTGATTTAACAACATGCAATTTATGCAAAGTTGGCTAGGGCTGGGATGTGTGCACATGTGTGTATGTACAAAGAAGAGATGGGAGGTGAGCCTGCCACCCACGGGTGACATGTTCTTTTCTTCCACGGTCGGTGAAAGTGACCCAGCTGAGCTTTCTCTCTGGAAGGAGCCAACCAGAGCTCAGCCCAAACTTATAGAGCACTCGCCTGCTGTGGAAGACTGGCCTGCTGACTGGTACATCTCAGCCCATCACAGTCTCCCCAAACCTGATGGGGCAGAGGGTGCTGCATTTTAAGGAAATGGTTCAAGGCCACAAGCTTCTGCTTCTGCTACACTGAGGCAGTGGTGCTCCAAAGCCTGCACTTTTAACCACTACTGAGACAGCAACAGGAGGAATTGTCTTTAAAAAGAGATTCAGGCTGAAGTATTGCTCACAGGCAGAGCATGTGCCCAGTTTAAGCGAGGTCCTGGGTTCTGTCCTCACCACTGCATAATACAAAGAGACAGAGGGAGAAAAGAGAGAAACAGTGAGACAGATTCCGGAGGAGGGGGAGATCGCCTTAGTTTTATCCGGCCCCTATCCACTTTGTACTTTGAATTGTCTCAATTCCATAAAAAAGTTGAATGCATAGAAGGATAAACACATTGTCAACAACGTCTCGTCTCTAAGACTCAGCTACTGCTGGCCCTCTCTTTCTATGCATAAGCTTTGTATTTTGAGCAGAAATAAAGCCCAATGAGTCCTTGGCAATACTAAGTATGATGTGTTTGCTGTTTTGTCTGATAATTCCATTTAGAAATGAATTCGTAACTGTGAAAACAGAGGGATGTCTGTCTGCAAAGCTCCCGAGGTCACCCCGCACATCCCTGGCAGCTGGACTCTGCATCCCAAGAAACGCAGGTTCTGCAACAGGCGGGACCTCTGCAGACAGCTGTGGTTGCTTTCAACACGGCTGCAAGCTGCCAAGGCCCCAGAGTCCCTTCTGGCGACAGGGCTTGGAGGGAGCAGAGAGACTGGCGGGGTCGACACCCAGGTGGAGGTGGAAGCCATGGAGTGGGTGGGCCTTCGCGGTGGCCTGTCCCTGCTCCTGGCTGCTCTTCTTGCATAGTCACCAGCTCTCTCTGTCCCTCTACCTGGGCTGGGCTTACGTGTCCCCTCTTTTAGAGCACCTTTGCTCACCACTCAGCTACTGTGCCCCTCACTCTGCTTCAGCTGTCTTCAAAGCACTCCCAGCTGTCATACTTTTCTCTGCGTGGCCAGTAAGCCCCTCAGGAACATGGCACTGTCCTTTGCTTGGCTCTACGCCAGCACCTGGCAGAGCCAACGTGAGCAGGAGTGAAGTATTGTCCACAGTGGTGGAGTGAGCCAGTGAATGGATGGGCTGGTGACCTGCAGTTCCAGTTTAGACCCTAGGCCGGTGCCACCACCAGGGCCCTTAAAGCCTCTCCTTGTCTGCTCCTTGCGACAGAGAACTTGCTCCTTCTGATCCTGAGAAGTCAGCATGTGCATGAGTTTTGTCCCCAGATATGATCTTTGGCATGTCCCTTTCAAACTAGGCACAAATCAGAGCATCTCAGCATAAGAAGGTCTGAGCTCAGGGACAGTCTGGATCTTTCCTCCAGGTCCCCAAAGTCCTCCTTTCTAGAGACTTTCTAGGGAAGGGAGATTTCCTTCTTTAGGCTGGGCCTGACACTCTGCAGAACCACAGGACTGTCATTACCCTCTCTCTATGTCTGTTACTCTCTATGTCTGTTGATACCTTGCAACACAGATGGGGAAATTGAGTCCCAGAGAGTAAATGGGATATTCAGAGTTCTGGAGGATCAAACCAAATATGTTGTCCAGTAGTATCCATGCACTTTGGTCACTGTCTAACCAGTTGGTGCAGCCCCGTGCTGGCTGCCAAGATCCCCCACATATACCTGGTGGTGACAGGTGCTCAGAGAGACAGGAAGCAGGAATCCCTGTGATTTCCCCTGGCGGTGCGCAGCCTGCCCCTGGCAACTCTGCAAACACAATGCAGGTGTGCAGGCAAGTAGTGTGAGTGGGGCACTGGCATGGCTTGAATAGGCCGAGAACTGGGCCCCCAGCTCTGAGTTTTTTCTCCACTACCTGGGTTTCTGCCAAAAAGCAGCATCTCCTTATGGTCTCAGGAGGCCAGTCCTACTCAATGATTCAAGACCTTTATCTACCAGCACTGCATGTTCTCATCCTGTGTGAGGTCACAGCCTAGGAGCCCTCACTCTGAAGCTGGCTCTGTCCCTTAGCAGCTACGTGACCTTGGGCCTCAATTCCCACAGGGCTCAAACAGTAGTTTGTTTGTTTTAGTCAAGTCAGTTGCAAACATTTAAGAGATAAAAGATAGAGACATTTTACACAATAATCTAGGTCGCTAGCTTTTCTTGAAAAAATCAGGAGATCCAGGCTTGCTGGGTCCCCAGCCCTGGCAGGTGACAATCCACTGGAATGAGGCACTCCCATGCCTGCTGGTGGGTTTCTGGCCTCTGGGAGCCCAAGGTCTTGTCTGCTACTGAATGGTGCTGGGTTACAGAATGAACCAATGAAGGGATGGATGGTGAACGAATTAATACAGCATGATAATAATAATGACTGTCCCTGTCCCCTACTTTCTCAGAGGAAGATGAGGGGTCATGGTGTTTTGTGTATTTTGAAATGCTGAAATAACAATCAAGACAAGCACTTACGTAGCACTTACTGGCCCTGTTCGAAACAACTTTCTTTAGTTCTCTCATTTGTCCCTTGCCATGGCCCTAGAGGTGGGATGTCTGTGAGCTCTGGTGGAGGCCAGGGAAGCCAGTTGAGGTTTCAGGCAGGGAACAGGCAGTAGCACATGGGGCCACTGGCTCTGGGAGAGCCTGTGTGGAATGAGGGCGGGCAGCAGGAGCACCCCCTCAGCCCTGAGGGGCGTCTTTGTGTTTCCTCCAACCCCTCCAGCCCTGCAGCTCCTGCCTGTGTCCGATGCTCCTGCCCAGCGGACTGGTTCCATGGCCCTCTCAGTTCTGCACCTCTCTTCCAGGGGGCAGGCCAGGGCCCAGGAAAGTGTTGCCTGTGGGGGCAGGGTCTGGGTTTTGGGTCAGATCCACTTTGCTCTGGTCCAGCACTTTCCCTCACTACCTCTGAGACCCTAGCCATGCCTCTTAGCCACTGAAGCTCCATTTCCTCACCTTTCATAACTCATTGGAGTTCATTAGTAGTCAGCAAGCACAGAGCGAGAGCTAGGCCTGCATCATTCCCTGTGCATGAACCACAGCATTTCCTAACCGGAAGATGGACGCCCAAATTGGGGAGGCCAAGTCCTGGGGGGGGGGCACAGCTGAGTGTGGATTCACAGATAGCCTTCAGCCTCGGGTCAGGGTGAACCCAAAGCTTGTGTTCTCAACAGGAAGAACATAATGCGGGTTTCATTAGTCGCGAGATTACAATGAGATAATAATTAACAAACAGTAGCAAATGCTTGAGTAGTCTCTCCACCACCAGGTACTGTTCTCAGCATTGTAAAACATTGGTTTATTTAATTCGTGCACCAAAGGAATCAACAGGCTCAGCAGCTACCATTCCTTGGCTCCTTTCATAGATCAGAGAGGCTAGGTGACTGGTGTGGCAGCCCTGCGGCTCTCCAGTCCTTATTTTTCCCATCACTCCTAGGACACACAGCACCCAGAGGTGCTGAGCCCTAAACCCAGACGGGTTCCCTTCACCACACCTAGTGTTGTTATGGCAGCAGAAGTGGCTCTGTCCCAGGACCTGCCCACATCCAGCTGGGTCAGCTGGGTGCTCAGGCCGTGACTGGTGGGGAAGAGAATTAACAGCCTGGGGACCACGCAGGAGCCATGCCGGCCTCCTCTCCAGATACCCGGGCAGGGCTGGCACAGTGGCTGTTAGAGCTGAGTCGGCCTCCTGGCCTCAGTCTCACCAGGCCTCTCCTCCCTCCCCTTTCCTGGATCCCAGGCCTGGGCTCCCAGAAGCCCCCGGGACAGCCATGGCTGTGCTCTCATGCTGTGGCCTTCCCCTTGGGAGTGAGGCCGCTGTCTACAGCATTGCCTCACGGTGACTCTCCCCACCCTCGGCCTTTTCTCCAGTTGCTCCCATCTGAAGCCTCTTCCTTCCTGCTGGAAAGATCTCCAGCTCCCGGTCATTGGAGTTTGTCTGTCCTCTTCTGAAACATAGCTACTAACACAAAATCATACACAAAAATTATCAGCTCTTTACACAGAGAACATACACACAAGTGTGCACTCCTGCGGGGACACGTCACACCACCCAACATCAGGTCACACAGGCACTGTCCCCTGCTGGTGCTGGAGTCTGGTCCATTGTGCTGGGCAGGCATGGCCTGAGGTTGGGCACGGTGTCTCCGGGGAGACAGGCTGGGGGACCCAGGGAACAGGCTGGGGCTCACACCTGCAAGAAAGGAGAAGGGGAGGGTGGTCCTCAGTGGGGACTGGAGTCCTGGCTCCCTTTCCTTCTTGTCACTTGTGCTTTCAAACTCCCTCCAACTCTAAGCCCCTCCCCCAGGCCATCTTCAACCAGCATTTGCAAATGCAGAGCTTGGTCTAGAGCAACCTTGACCCCCACATACCCTGTGAGCCTTACCATGCCAGCCTGGCTCTCATAGCACCAACCCATACCCGAAATCTGCTCCACTTCAGGCATGTTGTCTCTGGGATCCTCTTGGTACCTCTGATGGAGTGAACATGGAGGTTCGAGAGGTGAAGGAAATTTCCATAAGGGAACCAGGCTGCCCAAGATGGCTGCTGGTCCCTGGGTGCCCAGGCTGATGTGAGGTCCCCCTCAGCCCTCACCCACTGCTGGGGCAGCAGCAGGAGCAGACAGACCCCAGCGGGTGGATCTCTATTGAGAGGGCCAGGGGGCAACAGGAGAGCAGCTGCTGGGCACAACTGGCTGTCCTGGCTCTGCGAAGCCATGTCCTCCACTCACAGCTCTGAAAGCCTTAGACAGGGGAGCACAGCAGCTGTTCTTCCCTGTACCCCAGTCCCACTTGGTGCCCACAGACCCAAGTACCAGGCAGAAGCACTGTTGCTGTGGGGCCAGCTCTGAAAACTCTGTCTGACCTGGAGTGGAGAGTCTCAAGTTGTCCTAGACCTGCAGGAGCACACAGTAGAGCTGGCGCCAAGGGCTCAAGAGATTATAGTAGGAAAGCTTAAAACTAAAATCTCCATGGCAGGCTGATTGCCTTTAAGAACTAGGCAAGACAGTCCTAAACAGAGGAAACACTGAGTTCAGGAAGGGCGAAACTGCTCTTGGCTGACATCGGGCACAGCCCTTCCCTGGGACCCCCAAGGAACTCTTCTCTTGGGGGTGGGAGTGCAGCAGGACAGACCCTGCCCATGTTGGGCATCAGCCTCGCTGCTGCTAGACTTGAAGGGAGAAACCATGGTCCCCATTTGAGAGGGGCTCGGTGAGCTGCTGCCAACTGGGGAACTCGAGGCCCCCTCTCCCCTGCAAAAAGAGCACTCAGTATGACTCCTGCTCAGAAGACTTGTTTCCTGCGCCTGGACCCAGTAGGAGACTACATTTGCCAGCCTAACATGCCAAAGTGACAAAAGCTGTGTGCTAGCATTTGGATGTGGTTTGTTTCCAACAAAACTCCCTTGGAAATTCAGTTTGTCGATGCTGTGGCGTTAGGAGGTGGGGCTTTTGAAAGGGATTAATGTATTTCATGCAACACCGGATTAGAGGTTGCAGGAATGGATTAGTTCTTACAAGAACTTTTGTTATAAATGGGGTCAGCCCTTTGGTCTCGTTTCCCCTCCTGACTGTCACTCTGGTTTGCACTCTAGTCACGGGTTGCCACCCACTGTGTTAGAATGCACCATGAGCCCTCAAGTCAGATTTGGCCAATAGATCTTGGGCTTCTTGAGCTCAAGAACTGTAACCAAGTAAACCTCTTTTCTTTAAAAATATTCCAGTCTTAGGTATTCTCTTATAGCAGCAGAAAATGGCCAAATACACCATGTAAGAGGTTCTCAAGGAAGGTGTATGCATAGAAGTTGTGTTCACTACTCCAGGGCTCAGCCTCAGAACCTCTGGGGTGACACCCTTTGATCTTTCCTCTGCCCCCTGGGATGACTATATATTGAAGATAGTGGTACTACGAGAGGGAAGGAAGGTGCATCCCTGAGTCAACATGAAGAGAGATGCTTAGGACCCACTCACCAGCATTACATTTGTGTGAGCAAAGAATAAACTTTGTCACTCCTCCTTTGAGATTTCAGGGTTTGCTTGTTGTCTTAGCATATCATGCACTAGCCTAATAAGCTCCTCCTTAATGGACTTTAAATTTGGTGGTTTCCCAGTTATTTTATTTAAAGACAGAGTTCTATGACTAAAATCCTATATCTGAGATGTCTTCTCTCAGGATCATGCAGCTCAGATGCCCTGGAGACTCAGGCAGCTTTAGGGCTGCAGAAACCTTGAGCACGGTCACATATTCTGCCTGTGACCTTGGGCTGAGCCCCAGGGCCACACCTGCACAGCAGCGAGGACTTGTGGAGTGTGAAGGTGGAGATGGGGCTGTGGGGACTGTGTTTGGTTATTATGTGCATTCTCCCACCATCCCAGCTAAGCAAGGAAAGGGAAAGAAACCCCGGCTTTATTTCAGAGTGGATGCCAGAATTCACAGAATCTTATTCATTCTTTATGCGGGTGTTGATTGGAGTCACTGGTCTTAGTGGAGTGGATCCCCTCAGGCCAGGCTCTGACTTTGAATCTCCCAGTTTTCTCTCTGGGTCCTTCTCTCGCAGGCACAGTGGGCTCCGTTTTGAAGGAGAGAGGGTGTCATCCACCCCAGAGACAACAGAAACTCCCAAGCATTGAGTGCTTACTCTCTGCCAGCCCTTTATGGTTCAGTGGAGCCTCCATGAACTGGGTACTTTCATCCTCCACGTTGCCAGTTCTGGGCCTGGCACAGACGGGACATCAGTAACCCTGGATCACAAGCAAGGTTTCATGGGCTCTTGATGGGACACAGAGTGAGAGGTGGCGAAGAGGACAGGGTGGGACCCAGGGCGGGATGTGGTGTGAGGCCCAGGAACAGGGAGAGGCCGGGACTCAGCTCCTTAGGGCTTGTCCATCTGGGGCCCCAAGGCCAGTTACCCAGGCCGGTTCAGAAGGATGCCAGGGTGGACAAGCATCTCATGATACCATGGCCAGGCTGTGGCCCCAGGACTTAAAAAATATGTGTGATACTCACAAAAGAGATGTATACTGCATTTTGTAAGAAATGAATAGGTTAGGTGCATCATTTATGTACACTAGGACCTTTCTGAGAAACAAAAAAGGTTGTAATGAGTAATTACGTTGAGACAGAGGATGCATGGGCATCCTAGATCCAAAACATAAGAATGACAAACACCTTGAAGCCAGTGTAACCCTGAGAGCCAGCCCAATGCAGTGTGCCTTCCCTACACCCTCCTTCCCCACAGAAGTACACAATATCATCAATTTACAGCAGCTCATTTTCTCAGGTAAACTTCTGTCACATTCGTAGGAAAACTCTAGACAACATTGTTTATTTTTGCTTATTTTGGGGCCTTGTAAATGTTGGATCATGTAATGCGCAGTCTTTCGCAACAAGCTTTTCTCAGTCTGCATTACATTTCTAGGAGTCCTTCACAGAGTCCGCTGCAGCTATGTTGGATGCATTTCCGCTGCAGTACAGGATTTCTCTATATGGAGATGAGACAATTCCCTCATCTCCTGGTAAGGGCACCAGAGAGCTCCCGGACTTTTGCCATCACTGAGCGCACTGCCATGAATGTCCTTGTACCTTTCTGTCCCCAGGTGCTTTGGGGAAAGACTTTCTCCAGGGTTCACACTTGGTAATGAAATCACAGTATCTGACATGGTTACAACAATTCCCAGTGCCAGAGGAGTATGTAAGAATGTCAGTTAGGTCTGAGTCCACCAATACTTCTCACTATTCTGGGGACAATCTCTATGTGGTTTTAACTTGCATTTTCCTGACTGTTTAAGGTACACCTTCTCTTCTTCAGGTTTTTTTTCCATTCATATTTCTTCTGCTGAGAAATGCCTGCTCATATATTAAGTTGTTTGTTCTCTTAATAATATAAAAGAGTTCTGTGCGTATTATGCAGAACAATGCTCTGGTCAGTGTGCTGTGCTGCATTTTCTCAGTTTGTGGTGAGTCTTTTCAACAATTACAGAAGACAAAAAGCCACTTGGAGGGAGCATAGCGTAGGCATGGTGATAAATACTTCATCAGAAAAAAACCCAACAAAACATTTCTAATGCGCACAAAGAAGTAGAAAATATTTCATCCATGAAAAAAGAACAAGATAATATTAAAAAGAAACAGGGTTGGGGATACAGCTCTATGGCACGGTACCTGCCCAGCAAGTGCAAGGTCCTGAGTTTGATTTCTGTACAAAACATAAGGAGCAGTTAGATACCCAAGAGCTATTGGAAATATGGTAGGAGAAAAAAAATTTTAAGGTCTGTGGAATTTTTTCAGAATGGAGAGCAAAAAGGTATGAAAAATAGATGGAAAAATAAGTTCAGGAAGGTGTGTATTTGAGTAATTTAAAAGTTCCAGAAAAAGAAAATAAAGGGAATCACTGTAGAGGTAGACCTGGAATGTTTTCTCCAAACTGAACATGGTACAGAACGGTCTTCCAGAACGAGCAGGCCCCCGCGTGCGCAGCACAGGAAGCAGATGCTCTGGGAGACACTGGAAAGCACCCAGAGAGAATGAAGTGATTAGAAACAGCATTGCGTGGCACTTTTCAACAGAAACTAAGACAGTGGAGTTAGCTTTCAAGTTCAGAAAGAAAAGGTGAATTTTATCCCTGGCCAATTAAATGTCAAGCAGTTTTAGAAATACAATGGCTTAATATTTTTAACTTAATATTTTTAACTCAGCTAACTGTATCAGTTTATTTTCTGTTTCAAACAACACAGTAACACAGAGTAAGTTTTAACGAGAACTTTATTTTGGGTCATGGTTTGGTCCAAGGTCGAGGTGCAATGGCTTTCTTGCTGACCAAGTTCCAAGACAGCCAGGTCATCCTACATAAGAGACAGGAGCCTGTGTGTATGTGTGCGCCTCTGGTCTCCGTTCTCTATCAAGCCACTAGGTTTCAGCCACAGGGGTTCCAACCAGTGACGTGAATCCTAATCATCTCAGAGGCCTCTCTGTTGAACACCAGTCAGACTTTCTGCTGTCTTACGTTTTAACCGTGGGATGAGACTCTACCAGGAGGTGGGGAGGAGAAAAAACCAGAGCATCTCCCTTTAGAAAACTGGGGGTAAGGTTTCCCCAAATAAGACAGATATGGGAACCAGGAAGCCAGATCGAGCAGTCAGAAATCTACAGGGACTTCTTTAAGAAGAGGAACTTGATAGGATGTTTAACATGGGAGATTGCATTAAAAGGAGATTTACAGAAATGAAGGAGAGTTTGGAGGAAGTGGAAAGGATAAAATTGTAGAAAACTAAGCGAGAAATAAAATACCAAAGCAAAAATATCAATTGTTAATTCTAGAGAAAATGCAAGTGGTACAGGCAAATACTAATCATGCACACTGTGAACAGCATTTATTTTGCTATCTCATAAAAATCTTTGGAGGATATGACAACAAAAGTGCAGGTGACAAAAAGAAAAATATAGATAAATTGGAACATATCAAAATTTTAAAATTCTGCAAATTAAATGACACAATCAATAGAGGCAGAAGGCTATTCACAGAAAAGGAAAAATTTGCAATCATATATCTGATAAAACATTAATATCCAGAAATAGACTGGGCATTGTGGCATATATCTGTAATCCAATCTACACAGGAGGCTGAGGTAGGAGAATTGCAAATTAGAGGTTAGCCTGTAACCAAGGTTGATGATGTAGCTCAGTACAAGGCCCTGGGATCAATCCTCAATGTCATGAAAAAAATCCAGACAGAAATACAAGAACTCCTATGACTCCACAGCAAAAAGATAAATCAGATTTAAATATGGGAAAAGAACTTTAAGATATTTCTCCAAAAAAGATAAACAAATGGCAAATAAGCACATGAAAACTTGCCCTGCATCACTCATCATTAAGGAAATGCAAATTAAAACCGCCATAAAAACCCTCACACCCATTAGCATACCTGCTATTTAATAAAGTGTTGGTTGGGAGATAGAAAAATTGGAGCTCTTGTGCGTCACTGGTGGGAACGTAAAAGGGTACTGCTGCTGTGGAAAGCAATGCAGTGGCTGCTCAAACAGTTAAAACCAGACGCCGCAATTCCACTTTGTCACATTCAGAAGAATTGAAAGCCCTGTCTTGAAGAGCTGCTTGTACATCCATTATCACAGAGCATTATTCACAGCAGATAAACTGTGGAAGCAACTCATACGAATCACTGATGGACGAATAGAGGAGCGAAATATGGAACACACACGGAATCATATCCAGCCTTGAACAGGAAGGAAACTGACACGTGTTCCAACATGGATGAACCTTGCAGACATACTCAAAGTGCAATAGGCAGTCCCCAGAGGGCAAACAGAATATGATTCCACTTCCCTGAGGTATCTAGAGTAGCTGAATACCTAGAGACGGAAAGTAAGATGGTAATTGCCAGGGGCTGGGCTGAGGGAGGAGGAACCAGTGCTTGGTGGAGCAGCTTCAGCGTTCTGGAGATGAAGCTAGTGATGGCTGCACAGAGGAAAACGTACTTACCACCACCGCACTGTAAAAATGACAAGGTGGCAAGTTTTATGTGTATTTTACCACAATTAAAGTAACCATATTTGTTTTTAATTTTTTATTAGTATATGTTTGTAGTACATACTGTTTGCATTCCTTGCAGGGATTTGGTAATGCACATGAGGCATCTTAAGTCTTTTATTAGTGTTCGTGCTGCTGAAGCCAGAACATTGCAATTCTTTTTCATCTTGTTCCCTTCCCATCTTTCCCACTTTCCTTCATCTCTTGACCCCCTTCCCATTTGAAAAAGACTTCTCTCTCTACCTTCTATGATCTCTCTTTTATTTTGGCCTTTATTTATAGTTTAGGTTTCTTATATTAAGAGAAATCAGGAGATATTTAAGCTTGTGTGTCTGATTTATTTCACTTAACACTATGATCTCAAAGCGCATCCATTTTCCTGCAAATGACTCAAGGTTAATCTTCTTTATGGCAGCATAGTCTTCCATGGTGCATAAAGACCACGTTTTCTTTATTCAGCCATCTGGTGGTGAATATATAGGCAGTTTCTAAGATTTAGCTATCATGAATTGTCTTGTAAACATGAGTCTGCATGTATCACTGTAATATGATGTCTTTAACTCTTTCAAGACTATATCTCGAAGAGGAATAGCCAGAATTTCTAGTTTTAACCTCCTGAGGAATCTCTATACTGATTTCCATAGTGGCTGCACTTATTATGCTCCCACCAGTAATGTAGAAGAATTCCTTCTCCCCATAGCCTCTTCAGCATTTGATATTATTTGCTTTTTTTAGACAGTATCTCACTATATAGTTTTGGCTGGCCTTGAACCACTATGTAGCCTAAGATGCCTTTGAACATATAGCAATTATCCCTCCTCAGTCTCCAGGGTGCTGGAATTACGGGCCTGCATCTTGGTACCTAACATTATTTGGTTTCTTGATGGCTACTCTTCCTGGGGTGAGATGGACTCTCAATGTTGCATATTTTAAATAGACAGAAATAATGAACATTTTCCATGCATTTATTGGTCATTGTACTTCTGAGAAGTATCTATTTCATTTGGCCATTATTTTATTGGATCTTTTATTTGGGAGGGTGTAACTTTTTTTTTGAGTTCTTAAATGAAGGGAATTAGGAATGTAAAAGGTGAAATCGCAACCAAACACTGTGGAAATCCAGATTACTAGCAACCACTTTGCAAACCTGTTCACCAATAAATTGTAGAATTCAGAGAAATTGATACATTCTTAGATACACATGCATCACTAGAACCAAAATCAAGAAGACACAAAATTCTGAATAACGTAATAATAGGTAATGAAATAGAAACAGTAATTAAAAACCCTACTAATTAAGAAAAGCCCAAGTCCAGTTAGATTCAGTGCTGAACTCTATAATAACTTCAGGGAAGATGTAACACCAACACTTCTCAAGCTCTTTAATGAAACTGAAAGGGACAGAGTACCTGCCAAGTTATTCCCTGGAAGCTAGCACTACCCTGGTTCCAAAATCAGACAAGGATACAACCAATAATCTCTTTAATGAAAACAGATGTAAAAATCCTCAACAAGATCCTGGGAAACGGTCTTCCGGGAGAACACGGCGGACAGATAACAGCAACTACTGGAGGCTATCTGAAAGACTTGGCTCAGAAGCCAGGAATGGTGCGGACTAAGGAGACATAAGCAGGTGGAGATATGCTCTGCTGACTCAGGAACGAACTGGGCTGAGAGAAACCAACTTGGAATGCAGTCCTGGTGCTAAAACAGGAACAGAAAAGCCTCGGTGTGGAGGCTGGACCCCGTGCCATTGTAAGCCGCGATTTGGGTTTCCCGCCGCGCGGCGGCTGGCTGCCTCTACATCGGCTCGGCAAGGAGAGTGACGCGCGGAAGCTCTGAGAATGGCAATCTGCGAACGGCAGAGAGGCGTGCACTGACTTGTGATGAGGTGAGTGAGAGAAACTGACACTCTACCACAGTTTGACTCCAGCAGAGGACTTTCTGGGCCCGAGCAGTCCTGCGGGAGCAGGGCACAGTGGCGACTCCAGCCACACATCCCCCTCTCGGGCGGGATTGGTGAAAAGTGCCTGGCCTGCATGATGCTGCCGGCGGACCTGGTAGGCTGTCCCAACCCAGATCCCAGAGCCTGACGGTGGCCGGGAGGGGAGACGCGTAGGCTGCCTGGTCCGTAACTCCCTGGTGCGCAGCGGTGAGCGGGAACACCTAACTGGCGCAATTCGATCAGGCTGTGGCTGACTGGGAGAGAAGCTGGGCCTCTTATATAAGCTTGCATATATAAGGAACAGAGAAGAAGAGGCAGCATGGGAAGAGGCACCAACAAGAAAAGCTCCTCGGCCCCCAATTCTGAGAAACAGGCAATAGCAGACACCGCGCCAATACACATAAGGCACCATATAGAGAGCCTCATAGACCAATTCAGGAATGAAGTTATCAACGACCTGAAGCTAGAAGTATGCAGAATAGTTAGAGAAATGCTAAGTACCACCCAAGAAAAAACAGGTGGTGGAATGGAAGAACAGAAAAAAAGGGGAGAATTGTTGGATGGAGAAAACAGAGAAAGCATAGAATACGTGAAGCAGGTTCAAAGGGACTACCAAGATACTAAGAAGTCTATAGAAGACTGGCATAACAGCTTGAAAGAAACTAAGGACAGACTATCTGAACTGGAGGGCAGACTTGTAATATGGGAGGATGAAATGAAAAACTTCTTAAAAATAACAAAGAAACAAACAGCAATAATACAAAGACAAGAAGATGATAAGAGGATCCATAACTTAAGGATTAAGAACATAAAAGAAGAAGTAGGGACACAAACAAGTGAACTACAAAAGCTACTCACAGAAATAATCCAGGAGAATTTTCCTAATTTAGCAAAAGGTAAAGATACTCAGATGTATGAGGCATACAGGACCCCAGCTACCTACAACCCAAACAGAGCAACACCCAGGCATATAATAATAAAAATTCCAGAAATTCAATACAAGAACAGAATATTAAAAGCTGTAAGAGACAAGAAACAGACCACTTACAAGGGAACACCCATCAGAATTACAGCAGATTTCTCTGCACAAACCATCAAATCACGAAGAGCGTGGGGGGAAATAATTCAAGCTTTGAAAGATAATAATCTCCAGCCAAGATTGAGATATCCTGCACAACTGTCCCTGGAAATTGATGGAAAAACAAGGTGCTTCCAGGATAAAGAGGAACTGGGGGAATTTGCAACCACCAATTCAACCCTACAGAAAGTATTGCAGGATATTCTAAAAGAAGAAAAATACAAAGAACCCAGAAATAGTGGCGGGGAGGCCACAACAAATGGAGCAGAGAACAAAATGAAGAAGACAAACTGACAACTACTGACAGAAAAAGAGCTCAACAGAAATGAGACAGAGAAGATTGGATGATAGGAACAGCTATTTTGGAGAAAATGACATCTTAATAGGTAATACTGATTTAGTATCATCTTGTTTTGAAGTCTCATCTAGCTTTTGTCCTTCTGTCTCCAATGGTCTAAATAGGCTGTATCTTATTGGATTTTATTATGTACGATAGTATAAGCAAAAACCTTTTAAAGACAAGGAGATTATACAGAAACCATTGTTCATTTTCTGTTAGTCGATTCTAAATACTCTGTAATGCTGTCATTCTCTTGAATGGTTTTACATTGTTTTGATATACTTAATGCTACAGTATACAAAGTTGTACTCAAGGATTTCAAAGAAAGAGACAATATGGTAACTACTTTTAGGTAAGGATTATCTGGTGGTGAAACACTATTCTGCTTAAATGGTTATGTTTTGATCTGCGCTGTTTCGTTGTTATGCCCTCTTTTATCTCAATCTCCAATCCATTATTTACTTTTTTATCTTTATCCTTTTAATTAAAGGAAAAAAATAGCAGGATATATTATAGTAACCCACTTTGACTTTTCATTACCTTGATTTAAAGCCCTGTATTACTCTCACCATCTGGTTTTTAACTGATGTTTCCCTATTCTGTTTTGCTGGTTAGTATCAGGTTCGAAAGTTTAGGCATCAGCTGTGAAGATAATGAGATTCATTATGACGCCCATTCTTGTTGACTTTTATCTACTTTTGAAGACCTACAATGTCTCCAATGTTTTGGTTTTGTCGGTTTTATTCTTTACTGTTTTGTTCAATTGTATTATAACTAACGATATAGGCAGTTCTATTAGAGATAGCGGGAGGCATTATGGTAACCATTGTTGATCACCTTGTATTATGTTTTTACATTATCTATTATGTCCACCCTTTTGACTTGACCGATTCTGTTCTGTTATGTCACATTTGGTTTTACTCTCTTCCAAAAAAGTAATAAGAACCGTGGGAGCAATGAAACCCAAAATGTGTAATAGTCATGGTACAAAAGAGAGGAAAAGAAAGTGCTCCAAACTATATAACTGCATGTATATTTAAGTGTATAAGATAGAAAATGATATCACAGAGTTTTATTGGATCAATGAACAGAACTGTTTGCAGTATCATTGATGGAATGTCCACTTTACAAGCTTTAATTTAGTGACTTGAACAATTATTTCTAAGATGACAATATGTAATCCATTAACTAGTGATTTCCTACTGTTTATTTTTTTCTGTAAATCTGTATGACTTGTACCCTTTCCCCGCTTTTCTTTTTCTTTTCTCCTTAAATTAAAAAAAAAAAAAAAAGATCCTGGGAAACCATGCAGCAAATCATCAAAAAAATTATACATCATGATCAAGTATCTTCATTCCAGAGATGCAAGAATGCTTCAACCAAATCAACAAATACAATGCGTCAGATAAACAAGGACAAAAATTACAAGATCATTTCAATAGATGCAGAAAAAAACTTTGACAAAATCCAACATCCATTTATGATAAAAATACTGATGATAACAGGTATAAAAATTATCTAATAAGATAATAAGAGTTATTTAAGGCAAACCTACTGCCAACATCATACTAAGTGAGGAGAAACGAAAACTTCCTCTCTAAAATCAGGAAAAGTCAAAGATGTCCACTGTCACCCGTGCTGTTCAACAGAGTACTCAAAACATTGGCAAGAGCAATGAGGCCAGAAAGAGAAATAAAAAGGATCTGTATGGAAAGGAAGAAGTCAAATCATCATTATTTGTACATGAACATGATTCTCTACGTAGAAAACTCCCCCCAAAAAATCCACCACAAGACCCCTAGAATTAATAGAATTAATAACCAAATCTACCAGTGTAGCAGGATACATTATTGACACACAGGGCTGGGATGTAGCTTAGCAGCACAGCACCTGCTGGCAAGTGCGAGGCTCTGGGTTGGATTCTCAGTACCAGGAAAAAGATACATCAACACACAAAAATCTATAGTGTTCTTGTACACCAATAAAGAACTCATGGAGAAAGAAACTAGGGGGGGAGGTACCATTCATAACAATGTCAAGAAAAATTACATACTTGGGAATTAAGCTAAATGAAGAGTAAAATATTTCTATTATGAAAACTACAGTACCATAGGGGAAAGAAGATTGAAGAGGACATCAGAAAAAATGGAAAGTTATCCCCTGTTCTTGGATACACAAAACTAATAAAATCAAAATGGCCATACTTTCAAAACTGATATATAGATTTAAAACAATTCCAACCAAAATATCAATCAAATATTCATATAACTAGAAAAGACAATCCTAAAATTCATATAGACCCAGAAGAGATCAAGAATATCAAAAGTAACCCTGGGTAAAAAAGAATAAAGTGGGAGGTATCACAATCCTGGACTTAAAGCTGTATTACTAAACTACCATGATAAAAACAGCATGGCATCAGCACAAACACAGACAAGAGGATCAATGGAATAGAACAGAGGAGAAACAATCCCAAGCACATTCAACTATTTGATCTTTGACAAAGGCACCAAAAACATACACTGGAGGAAAGATAGTCTCTTTAATAAATGGTACTGGGAAAACTCACTATCCACAGGCAGTAGATTGAGTGTAGATTGGTATCTCACTTGTGTGTTAAACTAAAATTGAAAATGGATCAAATATCTAAATGTTAAAGTAGAAACACTTAACCCGCCTGAAGAGAAAATAGACAATTCTCTTGAAGTTTCAGGCAAGGACTCTTTGAATAGAATCCAGCTTGCACTGGGAGTATTACTGAGAATCAACAAGTGGGGCTGCATCAAATTTAAAAACTGTGCAGCCAAAGAAATGAGTGAAGAGACAACCTACAGAGTGGGAAAAATATCTTACCAGCTAAATGAATGAAGAAACTTGTTAAAATCCTTAGTCGAAATCATATTAGGTAGGAGGAAGGTGAGAGTTTGACTCCCTGAGCACGTGTGTCTCTGAATGTGCCCGGGTTCGGGGTGTTGGAGCGTGTGTGTGACAGAGCTAAGTGCTCGTCATCTTCATAGTGGGATGCCAAAAGATAGCATCTAAAATTGAAGATCAAGAATCAGATGAAGTGTGTTACTTAATTTCACAGAGATACGTACGTTATGTACCAAGAAACTCTGCTAAGGGTTGACAGCAGTTGCCTCTGGGAGAGAGCAACGGAGGTGCGGAGTGAATGAGTTAAGTTTCTTAGAAGATTTTCTAGACTATCTCGAGTAACACTTTGATTTAAAACAAAAAAAAAGCAAACACTAATCCAAACCCAATGCAAACAGAAAACTGCTCAGCCTTCCCTGGAAGGCTCCACGTCACAGGCTGCGTGCACATGGGGCCTAGGCCAACTCTGGGTCACCTGACGGCATAAGCGGAGGGCTCAGAGCTCCTGCCCACCACTCTTTTCCCCAGAACACCGAGCTGGTAACCCTTAGAGAAAGTAGACACAGCGGGGGCAGAGGTCCACTGTTTCCTTGCATAGCCACAGTCATTTTTTTTTTTTTTTGTCTTTTTCTTTTTTATTGGTACTGGGGATCGAACTTACGACCACACACTTGCAAGGCAGGCGCTTATGCCGCTGAGCTAAATCCCCAGCCCGCCACAGTCATTTTAAAGCATATTGCAAAAATGCAACTAGTGTATTGCTTAGGATGAAGCCAAGTTCATTAAATGAAAGGATTTAAGAAAAATACAGTCAGTCCTTCATATCCATGGGTTCCACATTCTCAGATTCAACCAACCATGGATAGAAAATACTAAAAGAAAAATTGTGCCTTAATGACTATGCACAAACTTGTCCCCTGTCATTATTCCCTAAACAATATGTACAATAACTATTTACAAGGCATTCACATCATATTAGGCATTCTCCAGAGATGCTTTAAAGTAAGATGCACAAAAGTCATACACAAGCACTACAGCACTGGCCGCAATGGGCAGTAGCATCCATAGATTTTAACGTCCCTGAGAAGGGAGGCTGGGACCAAACCCCCTGAGACACCGAGGGACAACTGCACTTGGGTGACAGCAGAAGACACAGTGGAAATGGAGGCAGCATTCAGGTAGGATGGGAAGGACTGGAGACACAGAAGCGCTGACCTGGTTTAATCCCTTGGGTTTGGACTCAGGACCCCAATCCTGGAGCAGAAGAGAGAGGGAGAAGGAGAGGGAAGCGGGACCCACCCCACGTCCTGGAGAAAGTCAGTAGAGCTGCGAGCCCAGCTATCTGAGAGCACGTGGCCAAGATGCAAGAAAACGAGGCTGGGCTCGCCCTGCTGCTGTGTAAAATCCTGGCTTCCTCTGTATAATGGTGCTTGTGATTACAGATCATAAGGATCGACCCTCATAGAAAGTCCTGCAGGAGAGCCTATGACCATGCTAGAAACACAGATCATGACAAGAGTGAAAACTTACATGCGTGCTGAAAAGCTTTCGAAGGACTTTATATGCACTGACCTTGTTCCTTACACATTCTAGGACATGATGTGGCAGCCAGGCTGCAACACAGTTCCCAGGGACTTGGCTTCCTGGTAGTCATACTCCTGTGTGGTCCCCGCCTGTGCAAAAAAGGGCTGACCTCTGTGGAACCAAGAGGTACAGAATTAATGGCACAATGTGACTTTCACGCATGGGTCAGAAAACCATTTGGAATACTTGCTTACTCTCGGTTGGATCAACTGTCCTGAGGAAAGCCAGCTGCCAGGTCATGAAGACGCTCAAGCAGTCTATGGGGAGCTCTACCTCGTGAAAACCTGAGTCCTCCTGCCAGCCACCGAAAAAAAACTCACACAGCAGGTGACGTGCTTTGTCTCCCAAAGTAGTGATATGCTGCAGGAAGGCAGGCGTGGGCCTTGCCTGTTCTGCACATCCTCCAGCTTTGAACAGTGCTGACTCATACTAGGGCCTCATATATTTCCGCTGACATTTCCTCATCTGTCCGTTGACCATCTGTCTCCCCACCAGGTAGGGCCTCCCTGGGGCTGGCACCGTGCCTGATTCACCTTAGCACTCTCAGGCCCAGCGCAGGGCTGGAATGTGCTTGTGGAGAGACACAGTGATCAAGACATAGAAGGGCTAATGGCAAGAACACGCTAGGTCTTCTGGGCAGCCCTTTGGAGGAAGTCGTGGGGGCTTGGAGGCTGCTGAGACAGGTTGGTTTCCAGGTGGTCTAGGGCGAACAGCATCCACGTTCATCTGGGGAGAAAGCCAGAGGGGAGAGGAGGCAGACTAACAGTGAGCCTTGGCACCTACAAGCTGGTCCTGTTTGGAGGCCCACGCAACACTTTCGAACCTAAAGAAGGTTTGTGGTTGTACCAGCGCACAGGAGGCCGGAGTCGAGTCCTGCCTCTGCTCCTACACCCCCAACTTGGAGGTAATGGAGTGGGGCTGCAACTCCGACGAGATGGCGCGCTTTCACATGCAGAGGCGTGGGCGAGCCCGGGTAAGCGACCCCTAGCGGCCGGGATGACGCATTCCTTCTGTGGATACACAGTCTCAGTTCACCTTCCTGCATCAGTCAGGTTGACGTTGCCTATTTGTCTGCCTCTCTGGCCTGGCGGGTGCAAAGTTCTGAGTCTGGGTGAATGAACAGTCTGTGCGCCTCACCTCCCTGCGGGTAATCAGAGGGTGCAACGTGGGCACAGAAAGCGCCTCCATATCCGCCCCCCCGCGATGACTGACGCAGGGATACTGACCTGCACCCCAGCTTCTCGCTTACTGCGAACATCTCGGTGCCCTAGCTAGCCTTTGTCTCCTGCACATGCCGCGCAGGTCTGTGCACCCTACCATATCATCTTCCCTCCTGCCCTGGCTCTCCTAGACATTTCTCTACCCCAGATCGGCCAGTCACCTCCGCCAGGAAGCCCGTGCTGCTTCCCCCGGACCTGCTATCTGCAGTGACAGGCTTATCCCTGCGTCTGCAGCGCCCCGGCCCTCTGGAGGTTGGGCGCGAGGTCCGGGGAGCGCCCGCAGAGGGAGAAAGGGACGAGGGAAGCTAGCAAGGCGGCAGCAGGAGGAGCGTGCGGCTAAGGCGGAGGCAGAGGCGGCGGCAGGAGGGTGGGCGGGAGCGCGCGCGCCGGAGGCCGCCCAGGACCGGGGCCGCGCGCCTAGCCTGAGCCCGCCCCGCCGCTGAGCGTCACCGAACCTGCTTGAAATGCAGCCGAGGCGCCTGGGCGGGCGGCAGCGGCCACGGCGTTGGCGGGGGCAAAGCCAGAGGGAGCCCCGGACCCGCGGCGAGCACTTGGCGGGCTGAGGCTCGGCGGCGGCGGCTGCGCGCGGGGCTCGGGGCGCGGCGGCCGGAGCCCCGGGCCCGCCATGAGCCGCCGGGAGCGGGGCGCGCTCGAGCCGCAGCTACTCGTGCTCCTCCTGGTGCTGCAGCATCTCGCGGCGGCGGCGGATCCGGCGCACGGCGGCCAAGGTGCGTGAAGCGGGTCCCCGGGCCGGTTCCGTGCCGCCAACAAAGCGCGGCCCGGAGGCCGGTGGGAGGATCGCGGCGAGCTCCTCGGGGTCCCCATCCCTACGGACCCTCGGCCCTGGCTGTAGGGGCGGAGAGCCCGGCGACCCGCTCCCCAGGGATGGGCGTAGCGGGGCCCGGCGGCCTGCGAACTCCGCGGGGGGCGCACAGTTCACGCTTTTCGGGTGTACTGCACGTTGCTCGCCAGTGAGGCTTGAGTGGCATGCGCTCCGCCGCGGCGGCCAGCTGCGTCCCCGCCTGACAATGCATTTCTGGGGACCCCTGCGTGCGGGGCAGTGACTGCTAGCAAGGGGGACGGCCTCGTGCGCGCAGTGCGTGTGTCGCGCGTGAGAGGGCCTCCGTGAGCTGAGACTGCGTGGATTTACCTCTGCGGGCCGCGTGTGCGGCCGAGTGTGTTTGAATGGAGGGTGTATTCTGGGCGTGTGAGCCTGGTGTCGCTGTGCCACCCAGCGGCCCGCCACTCGAGAATCCAAGCGTATCCAACCTTGCCTCTGGGTCGAGAGTGTCCAAGGTACCCGGGATCGCCCCCTTTGCTTCACCCCAGAAGATTCCAGGCTGCCTGGTGGGAAGCTGTGCTCGTGTTAGTTGACCCAACTCACGACTCCTTAACCCGCCACCCAGGGCCCGTCAAGGCGTGTGAAAAGGACCAGTTCCAGTGTCGGAACAAGCGCTGCATCCCGTTAGTGTGGAGATGTGATGAAGACGACGACTGCTCGGACAACAGCGACGAGGACGACTGCCGTGAGTGGTGGCCAGCGGGACGCTCGGGCCCGGGGTGGGTGGTTTATTACGGGATGGAGGGCGCCGGCTGTGTGCGTCCGTGGCTCCAGCCAAGTGGGCCACCTGCTCCAGCCTGGCTACCTCTTTCTAGGCGGTGGCTTTTGGTACCGGGTGGCCGCGAGGCCAGAGCCTCCCTGTAGGGCCCGGGGCGGAGCCCAAGGCAGTGTGCTGCGGACGAGCCAGGCGGGGCTGATGGGCTGGTACCAGGGGCTGGAACGCGGCAGTCTCTGAACTCTTCTACTTTCCAGCCTTACGGCCCTCCGTGGCGACCCACAGGGCCCCATGGGGCATGCGCGGGTTCTAAACTTACACGCTCCTTTTCCGGAATTTTTTTTTTTTTTTGAATGAATGGGCTCCTCGGGGCCCCTGATTGGCTGGGCAAGGACCACCCCATAGGTCTCTGTGGCCCGAGCTGCCAATCATGGGGCGGACCGGTGTGTAGCATTCCAGACCCCAGAGAGCACCCTGAGCCCTCGAGGAGGTCTCAGGGGCTCATCCTTGGTGGCACCGCTACTTCTTCCTCCCGGGTGGTAGGTGTAGGCGCTGCTTTTTGTTGAGTCACGCCGAAAACCTTTCTTAGTCTGCCAGCCCAGCCTGTGCATGAGTCACAGGGCTAGTACCAGGAAGGAGGGGAGCAGGAGGAAGAATTTGTTTCCTGGAAGGGACCCGTCTACCCTGGCTTCCTATGCAAAGCAAGGTGTTTGTGTGCTCTGGCATCACTGATTTTGAAGTGCCTTCTTGGAGTGAGAGGGGTTTGGTGTGGTTGTGAGTCAGGAAGCCGTTGGTTAGCAGGCAGTTTGCAGCAGGGATGGCTGGTAGTTGAGGAAAGGAAAAGCGACTTTTGGAGAATTGCAGGCCTCACCCTGGAGAATGTACAGCCCCGGCCTGGGAGCACTGGTCTCAGGGAGGAGGCAGCAGGTGGGCACCACACACATACACCTGCAGAAGGGAAGAGGACATTAGGCTCGCTGTCCTTTGAGTCCTTGAGGTTTTTTTTTTTTTTTTAAACTGCTAGTCAGCCTTACTGGTTCACTCTAAGAATACCTAACTGTGATTTGAGTATGTCTGTCCTCCCTGCTTGTTTCCCCACCTGATCAAGGCTAATAAGTGAAAACCCTGGACACCTCACTGGACTCTTGAGGCCTAATTCTAGAAATGTCATTGGAAGTAACGAGGTACACCTGCTGCCCAGCACTGTGGTGAGCGCTCGTTTTATATAAATTCCTTTCGTTTTGACAATAGTGCTTTGTACAGAGCAAAGACCAAGGCACTAAGGGTAAAGTTACTTACTTAGTAACTCCTAAGGTGCTAAGTAGGAGCCTCAATTTAAGCCCTTGTCACCAGTAAGTGTTCTGAACCTGTGACCCGGATCATCTCCCAGTGCCTCTGATATTACAACTGTGGCTGTGGCCAGGGCAATTTCAGAGTGAGACTGAGGCCTGGGAGCTGTTTCTCTGGTCCCTGTAGCAGGGAAGTGCTCATGAGCAGGGAAAGAAACTGTGCTTCTGGGCTGGTTACCCCTTTCCTCCCTGGCTCTGTCTTGTGAGGGTGGTTGTAAATTCAGAGCAGAAGCTTTTCCTGTTGTCCTGCTTTCTAGATAAGGACACTGGCTTACCCGGGACGTGATTTGCCCAAGGTCACAGAGCTGAGATTAGAACTTGGTCAAGACCCCTACCTGCCTCCTTGCTCAGGAGCACTGCCTGCTTCTCAGGCAGTGAGTGGTGTGGAAGGATCTTAAAGCTGGAAGGCTGAGCTGTAAATGCTAAGCTTGTCATTTTTTCATTTTATAAGGCATTCATTGGGCAAGACAGAGGAGTGAAGTAGCCTGTGGCTAAGTGACCTCAGGTGGGGCTGGGGAGGTGGGGATGGTGATAGTCAGCCTGGGCTGCTGCTTTGGCTCTGAGAGGTTGAGACAGCGTTACAGACAGAGTTAGTGGACAAAAGTGCAAAAGCTCTGGGAGAAAGGGTGTTGGTGTTGCACCAGGCCTGACTTTGCTGAGCTCGCTTTTTGCTCTGCCAATCAGAGCAGCTGCCCTTGAGGCTCCATCCTGACTTACTACATAGAGCATTTGAAGACAAGGGACTGGAGTAGTGTCCCTACCTTGAGGGCTATAGAAATGGCCTCCTAAGCAGCCAAAGAAGGCAATTAAAGAAACAGCATGAGGCTTTGGGTGGGTGTGTTAGGGCTATCTGCTCAGACTGAAGTCACTGTCTCTCTGAAGGTTGTGTCCCCCATGCCCCACCACGCACCTGACCCCCTCCCTCAGAACCTTACCTTGCAAAGGGGCCTTGAGCTGCTTCCTCTGCACCTCTGTGGGCTGCAGAATAGGGACTGGAATTTATAAATAATTTCTGTGTGAGGCAAAATGAGTTCTAGCTCCCAAAGGAGCCAGAATGCAGCTCCTGAATACCAAGAGGCCGGTGGAGGCTGGCAAGAGGGAGTTTTTGTGTTGAGGAGGCCGAGAAAGCCTTCTGGAGAGAAGAGAGCTGAGCTGGGTTTTGATGGATGAGAACTGGTGTCATTACCTCAGTGCTTTCTATTTGTAGGTGGGATAGACCCTGTGTTACAGAGGGTGCTGAGGCTTGGGGTGACTTAGTCCCCGAGTCACACAGCTCCTCTAGTTTGGAGCTGAAACTCAAGCTGAGGCCTTCTTAGTCTTGATGCTTATCCACAATGAGGGAACTTGGCTCTCTGGACACACAGATGGAGCTGGTGGGATGGGGAAGGGAAAAGCTTGTGGGGCTTCAGTTCCCAGCATAGAGGACCTTCAAAGCAAAGGAAGGGGCAGGAAGCGCAGGCCTCGACAGCCAGGAGAAGTCTGGTGGGATTCCTGGCTGTGGGCCACCTGGTTCCAAGGCCTTGGTTTCCTGTTGTTGCTCTCTGATGTCTGGGGGTAAAGGTAAGGATCTGATCTCTAGCCAGGCCTTTATTCTCACAATGACAACCGAAACACTTGCTTATGGACCAGGCGTAATACTGAGATCTCATGCCTGTCCCTCTGGGCTCCTCTAGTGGGTAGAATGGGTGACTATGGGGTGCTTGGATTGTCCCCAGTTTGTAAAGGCACAGAGTGGGGAAGTTGTTGGCTCAAGGACATATGAATTTTGAGTGAAATTGGAAGGCGTACCACAGTGGAACCCGGGCTGTCTGGAGTACTAGCTGGTGACCCTGGCAGGTCCCTTCCCCAGACCTCTGGTCTCATCTTGACATAAAATCATAATGCTTGGGCCCCCTCCCCTTACTCCCCCAGCTCTGGGGAGAAAGACTAGGTAGAGAGGTGGGCTAAGCTTGTGCTCATTGAGTTCCACCTTGTTCAGACTGCTTGTGGTTTCCTTGTGTCCCCAGCCCTATTACCTCTTCATCCCGTATTTAGTACATGGCCATGGCCAGGTCTCCTGAGGCTGAGCCCATCAGCTGGGCAGGGCCAGCCACCAGCTTCCTCAGTGCTGCAGCTTGCACTGACCCAGGCCCAGCTTCACCTCTTATCAGAGCAGAATCATCTAACATAGAATGCTGCTCTTCTCTGAATCTCAGTTTCCTCATCTGACCAGGCAACTCAACCATTCCAAGTACTGCTTGGGCTCCCAAGCACCCCATGGATAAAGTCACTCTAACCTCTTGTCTGAAGGCGCCTAGAAGAGACGCTTGTCTCCAGCAGTGGGTTGCTGGTCCCAGCAGGGGGTTGTACGAGGTGGTCCTAAGGCGGCACTCAGCCCCGAGATGATGTGGAGGTAGCAAACAGTAGCCTGAGGAGGGGCTTGGGAAGAACCGAATAGACAGGCCTGATTCGTCTCCATGAACAGGTAGCCAGGGGGCTAGAAAAGGCGGGCCTGTGTGGCCTCTAGCTGCTTTTCTGCTGGTGGTAGCTGTAATTCCCTGTACTCTGCCGGCTTCCCTTGCTCCTTGGGTCTTCCCAGGGCTGTGCTTAGCAGGCCTGGGGAGTTTGGTGACACTTCCCTTTGGCCTTCACACTTCCCGCCTGGTGTCCTGTCTGTGAGCAACCTGGGTTTCTTAGGAGTCTGTGCTGCAGTCGGCTGGAGCTGATTGCCTGCTTCTTTCCCAGTTGTCTGTAGGTAGCTAACTTGACATTTCCTTGGGGAAATGCTGGTAGCAGGTGAAGCCAGAGGAGCCCAGCAGAGTGAAGTCCCAGAGGGTGATGGAGCAGGTGCCTCTCGAGAGGCGTAACCAGACGATGCTCTCGAGGCCCAAGGCTAGCAGTCGTGCCAGGCCCTCTTACAGCCACACCTTAGGGCCCCAGCCCTACACAGCCCTGGTAACATCTATACCAAAATACCTACAGTCTCTGAATGCCTGGCACCATGCTGCCTCCCCTGGGGAGCCCTGCCTGACCCCTGCTGGCCCTGTGCTCCCTTTTCTCAGCCCGGAGAGCTTCACTCAGCCTTGCCTTAGGCTCCAGGGTCTCCAACTCCATTCGCTCCCTGGAGGAAGTACTGATTGATAATCCTGCTTAGCTGCCTAGCCCTCCCCTCGGCCATGCTGGGCTGTTCGCTTTCATTTGCTTTGCTAATCAGAATCTCGGAGGGCTGATTTCCTATTATTTCCATTTTAAAGATCAGCAGAGAAAAGGGGCTTGGTCAGGGATGCTGGGTTTGACCATAGCTGTCTGTTCTTGAGCACAGGTGTGGCCTGGAACTGTCCTCTCAGAGCTTTTCCTCCCTGGTGGAGTCTAAGGGCATTGGAGAAGGTGGGGAGTGACTGCCACGCTGGGCAGTGCCTCCCTGGGCTCCAGGTTTCTGACTTGGCGAGTGGAGCTGGGGACGGGTCCTCTTCTCTAGAGATCCCGTGGAGCCCCAGCGTAAGGCTGTTTCCCAACCTCCCACAAGTACCATGCTCCAAAGTTTCCAAAGGCTTCTGTGGGCCATTCTGCACAGATAGGGACACTGAGGCATGACATGTTGCAGGTACAGGGGATCCTGGGGAGTGCTGCTGCTGCCTGTTT